ATCTTTAATTGATTAATCAGCGGGGGTCCGTTTTGATCAGTGTAGCTCAGATATGAGGATGTGCTTTTTTATGGGCTATGTTGTTGTAAAAACATGAAAGAAATATTGCAGAAGGTTCTACTTACAAGCAATTGTCTTGATTTATTAAATTGTAAGTTGTCCTGCCCTTTTTTCATTATCTCCAAAGGCCATCTATATTGTTTCAGTGGTATGTGAATTCATTTGATCAGTCAGTTGAGAGATAGATGTTGTTTAATCAGCCGTCATCCTCACTATTAAATAATCTAATCACATCTTTGTCCGTTCCCCCCACCCCATTCCAAATGCTTTTACTGTGCTGCTAATTTTAGCAGTAGGCCAGGACAAGCAGAATAATTTAGTCAAAGAATACTATTTCATGAACAAACATAATTTTAAAAACTCTGCATGACACGAGCCGAGCTTGGCAAGTCAGTAAATATTTCTTATGAAGCACTTCAGAGTTTTTCTCACTTGGAACACCAATGATTTAAAATTTTCCCTAATGAATCAATGGGCCCTTTCTTCTCCCTTTAGTGTGAATAAATGCCCCTTTGGTTTTCTTTGCCTACACTTATTTCTTCTGTTTCCAAAGGAGGGAGTGGGTGACGGAGGTGGGGTGGGGGGGGTGGAGTGAGGAAACTGCTGCCAAACTTAGCAGAATACTGAAAGGCTCTAACCAGTACCCATGATTATTGGGTTAAAATATTGAAAAGAAGAACTTTTGATTTGATTTTGAGCTTTTGATGTTCCATGGGAGGAGAAGGCAGCTATGGCCCAAGTGACTTGTTTTGCACATAATGATAAATCATGTTTTAAATTATTGTGGTTTCTTGACTCATTCATGGATTATTATGACTATTTGGCTAGCAAAGCCTTTTAGCTATTGGGTGATATATAAATGAAATGAAATAAGTAAGTGCTAGTCCATAATTATGGTTTGTTAATCACAAGCAACCCATAAATAGAATTCATGGCTTGTAGATTGTAGACTGTGGGTTATTTAAACTATGGGTTGTCATTAGATGTGAACCTAGAATTGTGGATTGTTAATGGATTATTCTCCCTGGCTGCAGAAGCAGCAGGCAAGGGCAGTCAGTATGTAGCACCACCACCATGTAAAGCCCATTGGGATACAGGGAGACAATGGATGAAGGAAGAGGGAAACAACCAGGATAAGCACGGAGAAAACAAATCTGGGTTAGTTCAGGCACCTTCCAGAAAAACCCTAGGTAGTGCAACAACTATGGTTTAAATAAAACATTGGTTAGTGTTACAGGCAAACCAACCCAGTGTGAACAAGTAGAGGCCTACATAGGTCACCCAATCCCAGCCCTTGGCACAGAGAAATGAGCCACCTTTAGCTCACATTCTTGTTTCTAAGGCTGAAAACAAAATGACAGCCCTTCAGTTCTCTGAGAAAAGTATGAAAGGGTGAGTCACCAGTGGTTGTGATGTGCACATTCATCATGCCATCATCTCCATTTAACAGTTTTTTGTAGTACTTTAAAAACCTTTGAGACCAACCCAGAGCAGCACAAAAGAAATGAGTGCATACACCATAGGAAGTGATGCCTCATAACATATCATCTTAATCCACCAGGATTTTCAGAGTCCAAACAGATGCCAAGAGAGACATAATGCTAATGCCCTTCCATTTCTGTTCTAAGCCCATCCTTTCCTATAATGCATAATAGGAACACAAATTGCTGCCTCCATTGCCAAAGACCAGTGATACACCATAATGAGATGTGGGGGGGGGGGACAACATGGGGTGCCCTCCATCATGGAGACAGCACTCAGCACCATGGATAACTCCTACAAAGCTCAGAATAAAAGCTGTGATGGATAAGGAGTCCTCCTGACACATGACCCACCAGCCTCCCATGTCCCTGGCCTCACCTCAAACCTTTGCATGGTACACACTGTGGTCCTGCACTGGACAGTGATTACCCCACTTTAACCAAAAGGCAGTGACCCCTCTGAGTTTCCAAGTATCCACTTTCAGCCAGGTGTCAGGGTCCAGGGCATGGGCATGGGCACCAAAACCCAGGCAACAGGACCCAAGGCATTACCAAGTCCAGCACCTTCTAAATAACAAGTCCAGTAACAAGTGCAAGTCATAGCCACAGAACAGGCCACAGGCAGGAAGCAGGAGTACATCTGGGAGAAGGCAAAGATGTGGCCACAAGCAAGCCAGAGGTCAAGAACCTGCATGAATAACAGCACAGACAGCAGGTATCTCAGGGCAGGATAACCAAGCAGGGTTCAGGAGCAACAAGGCACGGCAGGCAAGGCATGGTGAGGTGACTAGGTGAGGTAAGACAAGAACTGGATCGGGCAAAGGTCCAGCAGGCTACAAGAACAGCACTCAGGAATTCTGTGTTACTGAGGCAGCTCCTGAAGGGAAAAGTTGGTTCATAGATAGCTCTTCCCCCCAAGGCTTCCAGGTGGTGCTCATCAAAGCCCTGAGTGCTCCAGCAGAGACTAGACCATTCCTGCAACTACCAGGGTGGGTGTTCTGGTGCTTAACCAGCAGGTGGTGCCCTGGAGCTGCCCAGATCCTAACACCAGAAAGGAAGGTCCTTTGTGTCTGCCTTCAGGATGCTGGCCAGTCTATAAACTATCAAAGCTATAAAAATCTTGAGCTAAATTAAAGCATGCATCGCTTACCCTTAACAGTTGTCCTCAAGCTTCTTTTCCTCAATTTGAAACCATCATTTCCCTACCTTGTTGGAATGCACACCTGCAGAGTGGGCATTGCACCGCTGGAAAAGATCCCTTCGTTCTCATATGACGTGTAGACATGCAGGTTCACATGCATGTCTGCACAATCAAGTCATGTGGTAACTGATGTACATGTGGCAGTGGGCTCTACCATGTGAAGTGCTGACACCCTTGGGACAAAATGGGAGCAATCCTAAGGGGAGTCATACACTGACAATGAATGGATCATGGGCGACAGTCTCATCCTCCTCGCTGCTCTCTGTCTATCGTCATATTTAGATACGCTGACAGGAAGCTGAGAGATGGCTCAGTCAGTTGTCCCTACATTAAACTATGACCAGAATGCATAATTCTGACTGAGTTAGAAAGGTGTTTATGAACAAGCCAAAAGTCGACTGTATTAACCCCAACATTTTGCTTTCCTAATCTCCATACTGGCAATCCATTTGAAGGCTGGGTCTTTTTGATCATCCCGCAGCCTCCCTTTCCATCATTTCATGCTTCAATACAAATTTGTATTTCAACAACAGGATATCAAATGTTAGTACAGAGCAGACACACCTTCAAAGCAACAATCACCAGATACACATATGCTGAATATAATGTGCCTACATATCACAAAGACAAGTTTTCTTCTCATGCAGACCTGACTGTGAACACCAATGGCACAGTTGACTCAAAGACAGTCAGAAGTTCTATCCTTAGCTTTAACAACCAAAATACTTTAATTAAAAAAAATACTGCAGAAAATCACCATCACCATTAAGAGAGAAAGCAGAAGGGGAGAGAGGGAGAGCCTCCAAAGGATAACCATAGAGAGAAAGGAAGCAAAAGGGGAGAGAGGGAGGCCTCTAGAGCAGGTCCTCATGCCCCACCCATCAGGAGGGGGACATCTCTCCAGCATTTCCTTACTGCAAAGAGGAGGCACGGGTGAATTTGGATAGGAATTGGAGATATTTGTGGTTTTTTCACTTTCACAGGGTCCTGTGGCTCTAACCCCTATGAATGCGGAGGGGCAACTATATGTGATTTGACTGACATACAAATTCAATTTAAAGACAAATTTCTGTTTTCTCAGGAAGGGAACTTGTTTGTAACTCGGGGACTGCCTGTAACAAAGAAAATCTCACAGAATGCAAAGAGATCGGGGGACTTCTGTACATGAGGTATTTTCCCTGCTGTTTTTCTAAAGCTTCTCCTTCTCCTGCTCTCCTTTGCCAGAGTAAGACAACTGCACATGTTGCCCCCACTAGCCTGGTTTTTCCTTTCTTTGCCTTTCTCTATATATTCCACTCCACAAACCCAAGGTGGTACTGTGATCCAGCAAAACTGAGAATTTACACAGCAGTTTCCTACTGTCCTATCACAAAATAAGGGAATAACAGCTCATTATCCTTGTTTTAATAAAAAAAGCCACAAAACAGTTGCAAAATACGGGAGAGGCTGTGGAGGATGACAATGCCATATAAAGAACTTACAACCCAATTTCTCATGTGGGGAAGCCTTAGGCCAGTTTCCTTGGTCCTGGGTGCCCATGAAGCCTTTTTGGTGAAACAATTTTCCTTTGCTCCACTCCCTGCATGTCTTACATTACTATTACAGCAAACATTTAATGGAATCCCATTTATTTCTCCTATTGCAGCACTAAGGATATCTTACTGAGCTGCACATTTCTTTGCCAAGCTTATTAGCCTCGTTTCAAGGCAGAATAGCTCCTACTGGGTGAGAGCTTGTTTACTGGCTGCCCTACCACAGAAACCGATTGGGGCTTACCCCACTGCCGACTCAAGTCGCTTTAGGAAATGTTCTGGGGGTGCTGGAATGATCAGCCACATGGTGGTGAAACGAACAGGCAAATGCTTCCCAGGAAGTTCACTCAATGATCATCCACCAAGCAAGCCACACCCTGTCATGCTCAAAAGATGCTTGTGTGGATTGCTAAGAAGACTGCATTAGAACTGGTGGAGGTGGGATGAGGTAGCAGCCGTAGACACAGTTAAAAGATCAGTAGCCCTTTCCCCATTTCTGTCTTAACTGTATTAGGGGATACACTAGCACTGATATTCCATCCCACCACGCCATGAATTCTTTGCCAATGATGAAGAGCAACATCCTTCTGAAGCCCAACCCCACAACTAAGGGTCAGCAGAGACTTCACTGAAAAAGAAGTGGTGGTGGTGGTGGTAGTGATGAGGATGATGATGAGGATGATGATGCAATTGGAGTGTCTAAGAGGGTAAATGACAAGTGCTTACCAGAGTCTGAGGAATTTTCATTTTCTGATTCACCAAATAAAAATTCGTATTTGGCCTTGGCAACACTCTGGGAGTGAACTGACGCACCATTAACCCAAACAAATGCTTCTCCCTGAAAAAAATTAAGAATAGAAGAAAAAACAGGTTCAGTTGACCATGGCACATTCCACAGACAAGGCTCTTCTCAAAGAAACTGATGTTGATTTTTTAAAGAAGTACACTGGCCTTGAACACCCTAGAAAGCAAGATAGTTGCCAAACATGTGCATGCACATGAACACCCAAGAGAGTGTGTGTGTGTGTGTGTGTGTGTGTGTGTGTGTGTGTAAGCGGTTTGGAAGGTATTTTTCTCAGCAGCAAATACTTGTTTGTTTGTTGGCTGGTCTTCAACGTATTGCTCTGCAATTATTTGGTCTACAAAAAACAGAGCAATCCTATCCATACTTTCTGAACAGTAAGTCCCATTGGACTTACCAAGATTTCCTTCTCAGTTAACACATAATAGATCACACTCCAAGCCCTTGGATCATTTCTGTATTTAGGTAACTGGACACCTACGCAATGCAACAATTGGGACTAAACCTTGGGGATCAAAATCCATAGCCTCATATGACTCAAATGACCAACCATAAGGCAGAAGCTAGTGAGGGCTGACAATGCAAACTCCATTTTATTCCTGTAGTCAATGAAAAACTGCACATGCTTGGTGTTCGTGCTGTTTTTTTTTTTTTTTAATCAGGGTGGCAAACAATTTAATCACTGCTATTTTTCTGACTGTGGGCAAGCTGTAGCTCTTATGCTTTACCTGTAACTCCCAGCTGGTATTGCCCATTGTGAGAATGATGGGAGCTGTAGACCAAAATACCTGGAGGGCTACAAGTTGCCTGTCCCTGGGCTAGAATAGCAGAAAAGGAGAAATGTTTGTAAAGCACAGAGTGCTGGTGGTGAGTGGGAGGTGAGCAGAAGAGAAATTATAGCTGTGTGCTTCACATTCGAAGCAACATTCATGGCCATGGAAGGAAACCCCACATGAGATCACTAAGTCCAGGGACTAAAGTTATTGAACAGTACCTGAGTGATGCAACATTTCTCTCCCCACAAGTCACCCCCAGAGACATGGCAGTGGAGGAAGCAACAGCTTGCCACATGTTAAATAAGCTCTCTGATCTTGCAAAGGAGTCACTTTCTCTTTAAAAAATAATGGGACAATTCTCCTCAATGCTGGTTAGAGATGGGCAAGCATCACATTACCAGGTCATGTTTGGGCAGCAGGTCCATTCCAAATCAAGATAAATGAGGAGGAGATTCAGCTACATACTACATGATAAGAGTAATGTGTAGTTTGGCTTAGAGTTGTTTTATAAGAGGCTGCTTTGAAAGGCCTCCCCTGCTAAGACTGCTACTGCTATTCAAAGCCCATGGGGACCCTTTTGCCCCAAGAATCTCCCATGGGGTGGGATTTCAGTCCCTGATCCCAGTTTTTCTGGGGCCACCTCCCAGGCAAAGCAGAAAGTCCTTCTATGTCTTTGCCTAAGAGGCAGCCTTGCAGATCTAATCTCGGAAAAACTGAGGCAACTTTTTAGGACAGGGGAGCACATCCCCCATGGGGGCCTTATGGTACAAGAGCTGCACATGAGAGTTTGCCCACAAGAGTTTCATAAAAGGGTTGCTTGGACTTTATTCTAAGCCAGAGAAGGGTTGATGGATTCTAAAATTCATCTCACCAAATTCAGAGCTCATTTCTTGGCCTGAGCAGCACTTCTAACACTCAGCAAGGGAGAGGGAAATTATCTCCCCATTTTTGGTTAGTTTCATACAAGTATTATGATTAACAAAAGGCAGTGGAATATCTGGACACTAAAAAGACACGTTTGTTTCCTGCAGAAGGTACTATGCTGAACTGGAACAATGTTCTTCATTGGTGGGAGTTTAATAAAGCCAGTGACTACTAGGGATTTAGAAATCTCTCAAACCAGACAAAATCACAGGTTTTGCATTAACAAAGCCACCACATTTGTAAAGATTTCTCTACACTTGTCCTGCCAAAGGAACATGGTATCACACTACTGGCTCACAGTAATGACTCATGTGCTTCTGTTCAGGGATTCACTAATCATCATCATCATGGAAAACTGTGTGGTGGATTTTTAGTTGATTATAATCATATGTGGTCTGTTAGGATCCCTTGCTCTCTCCGTGCTTTTAGATGCACACTTTAACATGATGAGAGGCTTTGAAAAGCTGAGAGTAATGCCTCCTGGAGGCCGGACTGCCTCACCCAAGGTGGAATGGTCAAAGTGGAAACACCAGGCGAAGATGCATCCGCCCTGTTCAAGAAAAACGGCTATATCAGCAGAAGGAAATGGATTTCACTAATGGTGATGGGGTGGAGAAACTCATGAAGGGCTGCAAATGGGCAGCAGCAATAGCTGAAGGCAACACTGGCGGAGAATCCTTCACAAACAGTGCCAGTGATGCTCAAGGTAACTGTGGTCAGGACTGCACAGAAGAAGTGGGTCCTTAATCAAATCAAGCCAGAACTTTCCCAGGAAGAAAAAGTGACAAAACTGGACTTTGGGCATATCATATGAAGGCAAGATTCACTGATAAAGACAAATATGCTAGGGAAAATTGAAGGCAGAAGCAGAGGAACAAATATGAGATGGCTCAATCCGATAAAGCAAGGCACAGCCTTGAGTTTACAAGAGCTAAGCAGGGTTGTCAAGGACAAAACATTTTGAAGGGCCTTCATTCAGAGGGTCATCAAAAGTCAGAGATTAGCTTGAAAGCACATAACAACTTTGCTCTCTTATACTAAGTCTCACTCATAAGTTTGCATATGACTGAAACTAAGTACACATAGATCCACTAATTTTATTGAAAAGATTCTTTATATCCCACTTCTGTCACAGCCTATGGTCAAAGCTTTAAGTGACAGCAGCCACCAGCATGCATGTGGAGCACATCAAAAGACAACACATTTCCACAGTGCCCACCCTTCCCCAACCTGGTTGCAGCCAGATATGTTGAACTCCCCCTGGCTATGCAGACTGGAAATTATGGGAACTGCAGTCCAACATGCCTGGTGTGGGTCAGATCAGGAAAGACCAACTTAGCCCATTATTGCCTACTCTGACTAGTAGTGGCTATCAGCTCAGTGTCTTTTTCCACCTTGCAGCCTCAGATCCTTTTAAGTAGAGATGCCAACAATTAGACTTGCAACTTGTGTTCTACTGCTGGGGCATGGATGTTCCCTCTCAGTCAAGCTTACAACAGCCTTGTAAAGCAGGCTGATATTATTATAGACACCCTTGTTCCAAGCAGGGGCTTGCCTAAAGCCACCTAGTCAAATACACAGCTGGAGAAAGATCTAAACTGGGTAGATGAAAGCTCATCTACCCTGCACTACCTTTTGGGATCAAAGAACATGCATTAGTTACTCTGGTAAGAAGCTCCCAACTTCCAAACTGAACTCATCGTTGCACTTCTTCCATTCCAGGGTGGCTCTGGAAAATTGCTAATGACATGAAGGTGGACATGTAGCTAAAATAAGCAATGGAAGCTTTGCTGGTTGTACCATCACCTGTAGATTGTCCTCTAAGAACATCCAGGAAGCAGGCCTTCTTGGTGGTGCCCAACTTGTAGAATCCCCTCCTGGCAGTGCCAACTGCGGCATTTTAGGTGCCTTTTAAAGACTTCTCATCTGAGCCTTCCCTGACTGATTGGACTGTTCAGTTTGTGAGTGTTTATGTTTGAGTTTTCTACTACAAATTATTTAACTGATATGGATTTTTATATAGTGTTATGATTCTTTACATTTTAATTTATACTTTTTGTATTGTCAACTACTTCAAGATACTTTTATTCAGTTCTGTGAAGAAGTTATTAAATTGGTTAATTAACTGTATAAATACAAACATGAATGAGACACAAGTGCTTTTCACCACTAATCCATCTGTTCACACCTCAGCTACATTTGAGTTTGCCAGTCTGGTGTTAGGGCTCAAGCTCACAGTAGGTCCTGAACCTGAAACCTGAAGGATACCAGGAAGAGGTAGCCACTGTGTACCTTCACCTTGCCCTGCCCAGGTGGGAGGACGGCAGACCACCAGCTGGACCAGCAAAGAATTTGCCTCTTAAACAGATCACTACGAGTGAGGTGACACTCCAGGGCTGCCAGAGTCCAAAGACTTAGACAATTTTGCCCCTGTGCTTCTTGTGCCAGCTTCCTCTTCACCCCAGTATGGCTTGCCAGGAGCAGAATCTCTGTTATTTTCTACAGAGTGCCATCCACGTTCCCATGCCTTCTGCAAGCAGTAAAATCAGAGCTCTTGCAAGAATAGTCAACAGAGTGGATAAAATCAATGTTTTTTCTTTTAATTTTAAAAAATCTGATGTTTAAAATTTATATCTGTTTTTTAATTTAAACTGGATTTTTAAAAATAAAATATTTTTTGAGGAAAAATCTATCTAGTTTTCTGTTTAAGATACATTATAGTCCAAAGGTTATTCATCATGAAATAAGGATTAGTTTTTAATTATACAGCATGAGGCTGTATATTCATGCAATGTTTACATTTTTTGGTAAATGGATTCCATTATTCCATTCACAATGTCATGTTCTTCCAGAGGTTTCTGCAAGATTCCTGGGCAATTTTTCTATCTAGGAGATATTACCACAGATACTTGGTTTTACAGTTCTCAGAACTGAATGTGTGTCTACAAAGATCACATGCCTCTTCTTCACAGTAAAAATGTTATAAAATAAACATTCAGAGTTGAAAAAAGACCTTAATCCCATTGTTCCTTTGCAAATCTACATACACAAAAATCAACCCATTACTTCTTAAATGTTAAGTTTCATAAAATTCAATAGAAGCTAAGTGTGAGGAAGGGGCAAGCAGTAAAAATGAAAGTGAAAATTTTTGAACAGAAAACTCCACAAGTCTTTGGATCTTTTTGTGTATGGCCTGAGGTTCATTGCATTATTCTTTCCCTGGAAGAAAAAACCTATAGTGACAGCAGGTCCTAAAAGAGACCCAGTTTGGGAATATTTTAATAAAGTTCTTCTATCTACAGGTAAGGCAGACATGTGTAGAAAATCATGATTTAA